AGGAGAAAGAATGAATCAGACTCAGACCCAGAATCAACGGTAGCAAATGCAAGATTGCATGTTCAATATTCCCTTTAATTCTATGTGTTAATATTGTTTAGAAGTTTAAATTTAATCTTAAGCTTAGAATTTTTACTAAAATTTAAAATGCAAATATCTTAACTCATTGGTCTAATGGTTAAGGCTGTGGATTTTGTAATCCAAAGGTTGCAAGTTCAAACCCCACTTACACCAACTAACTTTTGTAACTAATTTAACTAATTTACATACAAGTATTTAAATTAGCCTCACTTCTAACACTTGTTTATCCACATGACATCCCTAAGGAGCACATGGTCTAAAAAAGCATGCCCTTCAGTCTGTGCCTGACCACCATGCTGGAAAGTTGCTTCACCTCACTGTCTGTGAATAACTGCATGTCAAGAAACAAATGTAAGTTACTTTCAACTCATAATATTTCTAACTTTATTGCATTATTATCATTGTATTAATAATAGAATTATTGATTAACAATTTTTGATAACAGTTTAACGAAATGTTGTTCAAATGTTTAGTCATCAAAATGTGTTTGTACAATTTCAATAAGCAAGTAGAGTTTATTGTGCCAAAGTAGAATATGTTTCAAAGTGCATTAATGAAGATTATGAAATTGTTTCTGCTTATATTGTAGTTTTTGAACCTCATCAGAGCTCATCAGTTTCATCGTAGCCTGATTCGTTGTCAAAGTGCTAAGCAAGTTTCAAAGGATGAAGTACTCATGAAGATCATGGAATTATTAAATTGTAACCTGCACGGATCTGTAATAAACTCTGATGCGAGTATCAGATTTTGTTCTTGCATCTACAAACAGATTCACAGATATTTTTCCATTACGTATTCAGCACAAATGTTGCGTTTTGTATTATTATTTTCTCGTTGTGAGTATTTTACATGGATTGCTTGAACCTTTGTTATCTTTCCAAAACTTGAAATTTCAAGTTTTTACTCGTTACTCAGTATTTTCTCGTTTCTTCAAGATTTTTTAAAAGTTGCAGGAACGAGAAAATACTCTAACTCTTTCAAGGTATTAATAAGAGCTTAACGAAAAATAACGTGCCTTAATGAGAAACTGAAATGGCTGTGAAAAATACTCCAAAGCGAACGCAATTGGAAGCAATGAGAACAAAAATATTTATGCCACAAGTGGCAGCTTTAAACTTTCGTAGAAACGCATATCTGTAGCATGCGTGACCCACTTTCGTGTTGGCCCGGGACAAACCCGAATGGCGACTCGTGCCCTCTGGAAGCATTAAGTGACCCACTGCCGTGTTATTCCGGGACAAGCCGAATGGCGACTTCGTGCCCCTCTGGAAGCGATTGACCCACCAGGTGTTATTCGGGACAAGCCAAATGGCGACTCGTGCCTGTGGAAGCGTTAGTGACCCACTTTCGTGTTGTTCGGGACAAACTGAATAGCTGACTTGTTCAGATCTGGAACTTGTGGATTCCCCGCTTGGGTGTTGTTCGGGACAAAGCGAGATGGCGAGTCGTCGCCACTCTAAGGAGGCATTAGTGACCCTTTCGTGTTATTCTGGGACAAACCCGGGCCAGCCACTCGTGCCCCTCTGGAAGCATTAAATTGACCCACTTCGTGTTCGGGACAAGCCGAATAGCGACTCGATGCCCCTCTGGAAGGATTTCACGCCTGGCGCATGAACATCAGAACTACGCTTTAAGCAAGAGCATTAACTCTATTCCTGTTTTGATTCCAATGTTTCTAAAATCGCCGAAGCTTACATGGCCATTGTATTGCTAAGGTTGTTGTTTTAGGTTTTTTTACTTATTTATTTTAAAAGAATTCAACCTCTTTGAAATTACAACTAAAGAAGGAGAAAAACATATTTTGTTTAAAGACATATTCTAATGTAATTATTACCAGCTGTTCACCTTACCTTTGAAATTATATTGAATTAATGGAAGCTGTAATGGGGTTTAATCGTCACTAGTAGGAATTGTTTTATTGCATATACAAATAATAAAAAATTCAGGTACATTAAAGTCCCAAAGAAAGATACTCAAAATGACTTTTCAAAATATTTCTCAAGAGTTGAACATTCGTGTAACCTTGCTGTCACCTCCTGTTGGAATTTTAAATGAATTCGCTGGAAAAAATATGAATGACCAAAAACATCCCCAAGAGCTATGAAATATAAAGCCCAATGCTAAAGATTAAAGGTTGATTAAGTTGCATTCTAAATGCGATATTATTGTTTTGAAAGTGGTAGCGATTATAATTACATTCCTAAAATTAGTCAGAAGCGCACATTACAATCCTCCATAACAAGCCCCCATTCGTGACCACTCATTATTTATTCCGGGACAAGCCGAATAACGACTCATTAACCCTCTGGAAGGATTTCATATTAGCGCATGAACATCAGAACTGCTTTAAACAGAACAATAACTCTATCCTGTTTGATTCCCAGCCAGGGAACCAGGCTGCTCATCATTTCGGTTTGACAATTTCGAAGCATGACAACACGAAGGTCGGTCACCTAATTCGCCACAAACGTTATACAGGTACCCGTGGGTTAACATTTCATCTGGACGGATTGGGGTAGCCCTGAGTGGTTAAAGCGTTCGCTCATCACGCCAGGGAGACCCCGGTTCGATTCAGTACAAGGAGGTTCACAATGTGAAGACAATTTCTAGGTGTCCCCGCAGTGATATTGCTGTAATATTGTTGACGGCTGCGTACGAAGCTAAACTCACCCACCACATATTACACCCTTAATGTAACAACTATGTCTCTATATATTGCTGCTGTTCACTGACGGCATTCAACTGATGGACGGGCAAGAAGTGGCTCTGAGACGTGGTGCAGAATCCTAAAAGTTTTACATAAAGGCGAGTCATGTGTTTTCAATGAGGAAGGTCGTTGGTGACATAAAACCAAAGGAAACCCACGTCCGACGTGTTTATTAAGATTATTATCCTGGGTTATCATTATCTAAATGATATTAGCTTCCTATCAACACTTATATTTAGAACCAGCAATAGGTTTATGAGACACATTAAGAATATATCACACTGACCAAAGTCACAGTTAACATGGGCGTACTGATAGAACATGAGGCATAGTATTACAATATGTATGCTATAAAACATGTTGAAAACTACCAATAAGACTAAATAAAATTGAACGGGAAGCAACTTTAAAACGTTTGGGTTGACACAATATACTTGAAGAGGCAGTGTTATATTACTGGCACGGGCATACTCTTCAGATCAGGGTGTAAACAAGAATACCGTAATGTTAAAGCATAGAGATCCAAAGACAGGCAATCTGAAGGATACAATACATTGACAATACAATAATGTTTCACATAGAAGCGCCATGAAGCATGCTAAAAATAAAATAACTGCGCTTGTTAAAAAACTTAACGTACAAGGAAACGCGCCATGAAAAATAAAAGGCGTCGGTTGAAGCTTTAATTGACGGTGCAAGAGAAAATAAATTAACAATATCACATTTTGATATAAATTTAGTAAATATATGTAGAAGGTTCTCCTGTTCCAGGATGATAGATCAGTTTTGAAAATCATCGGCAAATAATACCCTAGCTGCACGTCCCCAAAAGAAGACATTGCATAATACCTTCTCAGGAAGCTGAACTCGTATTCACGTATCTTTGGCTTCAGGCAACGTTGTTGGGAAACATGTTTATAACAAGTCATGGTTGTGTATGTATATGGTCTGTTTGAAATTTTGCATTAATTTACACCGATAAAGAGTTTAAAAGCGAACATTTATCGTCGGTAATTACAGGTACCTACATTACACTGCTATAAATGTTTCTTACAAATTAGTCCAGTAAAAATATAAACGTATATCATCACGATCAATAGTTGGGACAATGAAAGAAGCTAAATAACCATTTACAGTAAATGAGTGAAGGAATTGACATGGCACAATCATTGGTGTATTTGTGTATTTTACAGAGAAAGAAAATTCTGGTCACGTGATGCAAATTGGCCCGTGCAGGTGACTTACGCAGCGTCATCAATGAGTGTAGAGTACAATTGTTTCAAGCATTCATTTTTCAAAATTGTTCAAGCGTATATAATAATAAATGTTATTGCCACGACCAGAATTTATTTTATAAAATGATCAGACGTCTGAGAGATGAGATCATTTTTCAGGCTCACATTGGAACATCAGGGTTCGTACAGATTATCAACCATCAAACTTAGGACTTGTTAGGGTGTTTTCAAGGCCTGATCAACAATTTAAAAACTATAGAAACACACAAAACAAGTTAAATGCTACACACAAGGTTGGTCAAATGTGTGACTGACCAACAGAGAAATAACTCTAAGCTACATCCCTGCACTGGGAAAGTGTATGTTACAGTCAGATTGTGAAATCAGTCATTTTCGTGAAATGACTAAAACATTCAATCATTTCGTTGAAATGACTAAGAAGATCAGCCATTCAACTATCCTTACTGCTCGTTCTCAACTTTCTTGCCTGGGTTAGCCTTGGCATTCTCTCTGCGTTGACTTTATGTTCAGTGAGTTCACTCCATTTTGTCAGACGTGCCCAGTTATCAGACAGACCAGTCAAATTATTGACCAGTGTAACTGCCTGGACTTACCCACTAATTAATTAATGAGCTGCTCCCAACTGTGAACAGAGTTGGCTACTCCCCACTCTCTCAAGTTCGTTAAGTGATACAGATTAACCAGATTATGATTGTGTTTGTAAGAAGTTGCTTTTAATCAGTGTGTGGGATTGCATGTTGTAGTAACAGAAATTGGGAGTGGTTCATTCAACATGGAATGGAGTTGACGACGACGCCCGTTTTCCTCTACCCTATGGAGTCATCACCACACAGTTGGACCGGGACAAGCAACAATTTGGAGAGTTCATGCTCGTGTGAACACATCTCCCACATCACCACCCAAACCTGTACCAGTTTGGGGACACAGGTCCAAGCCATGAGAGACATCAGAAGACGCTAAGCTAACATGAAGTTGACTTTGGTGCCGCTCCCAGCCCAGAAGAAGGTGTACATAGTGTCTGGGGAGACTGCTCCGAGCTGAAGAGAAGCTGACAAGTGGTCAGAGACATCTGTTCAATTCCTGGATGCTGTTGGACACCTGGCTGAAACTGGGCTGACAATAATTGAACTCTACTCTAATATAAATCAGTTCTGGCTGATTTCATATCGATTAACTTACTTGTACTGGATATGATCATTATTTTTATTATTTATTATCATTATTAAAGAAAGTCTTCCCTGATTTCTTACATTTCTTATTTCTGTTATTTGTTTGTAGGCCGTTCCTATTTCATTGGGAGGTAACAGGCAGGGATTAGCTGTGCACTCAACCAGATGGTTTGTTGTTTTTAACCTGTCTGACAAATGCTAACGTCTGACAAATGGGAGGATAGCCTTCAGTGATATTGCAGTGTTGGACGGAGCCATTTTATACTGAGTTTTTGCACGATCTTTTGTGTATCCTACTGAGGACGTATGTGTTTCCGTCATTTCTGAGGAGTCGAGACCACAAAATGCGTGCCAGCGAATTGTTTCGATGTATCACGAACATTGGCAATCGTTATGAAGCACATTTATCAAATTTGATGAAACGATCAAACCTATTTACATGTATAATGGCATGAATAAATGGCTGATCCTCTTGGTCATTTCAGTGAAACTGATTTAACAATCTGACTGTAACACATATAAGGACCTTCTCAGGACAAATTGCAGTAAGTGGGGCCCTTTCAAGGCTAAAACAGATTTAAAAGCCTTTTCAGGTGTTAAATATCTCTTAGCTGTGGAGATTAATTACTGTCATATTGCAAGGTATTTTTATTATGTATTTATCTCCTGTAAAAATCCTGGAAATTACTGGCAATAGGGGCCTTTCTCTAGGCTAAAACGAATTAGGGGAGCTTTTTCGGGGTAAAATATCCATATTTCAGGGGATTTCTCAAGCTAAGTGAATCCTGTACATATATGTTGAAAAAAGTGCTCTCAAAGGTCAAAACCTCCAGATGTACCATCTGTCAAAGCGGTGTATCACAGCATCAGTGTTCTGTAGTTTACCTTCACAATACAAAATATAGTAAAGGTACAAGGTACTTGACAGGCACGAGGGCTGGGGACATCAGTTTCAAAGCCTAACCTAATTGCAATTGTAGAATGCTTTCTCTAATGGAATATTTTGAGGGGACGTTATTTGTGGAATGGGGAGGCTTCGTCATTGCTGTAACAAGGAGTATATTTTAAAACAGATGTTGGTAATCAATTGGACATTGGTGGAACAATTCTAAAGACACTCAAAATCCAGAGCTGATACTGCAGCAACCTCCTTCTGGGGCTGCCACCACCCCAACCTCCTGTAATTCGTCAGAAATAGCTTGGCTTTGTCTTAAGCTGACTCTCAGGAACCCAGACTGATGAAGTACTTTGTACTATGTCGGTGGTCGGCATCGTGAGAATCTGATGACGACTGCCTTCACGCTGGAACTTCTGCCTCAAGGTCTCAATTTCCTCCCACGTGGCTGTCGATGCTGACGTTGTAAACAAGATGGCAGGAGGACAGGGTTGACAGCTGAGGCTGGTTCCGAGTTGAGACAGGGAGATCGCAGCAACCTTCTCTCTTCATCTTTGAGATGGTCTTTTGGAGTTAGCTCCATTATGTTAGCGACCAGGTTCTTTCTTGAGTATGTCATTAGCTCTTTGCTGTAGTCTTTGAGCCAAGTTCTTCAGTTCAAAGTTGTTGCTTCTCTTTGCTGCATACAACATATTCAAGTGAGATAAAATTCACTTAATGAAGGAGTCCTTATTGAAGTCATCTCTTCTTCTATAGTCTTCAGCTCGTTCTTCAGAAATTCGATTTTCAACCTCCCTGACAAGAACAGAACCCGTCAATTTCTGTGATTCGGACCAGTCTCAGAGCTTGAATATCATCTTCATCGAAATATCAGCCAAAGCGATATCGGCACGTACTTCAATTCAAACTGGCGCAAGAACCTTCTTCGCGACTGACATGAATTCATCGCTGTTTGACTTCACTGCTTCGTTCCATCGAAAGTTCAGCTCATAATCTACCCTTCCCTGAAACTTCTCCAGAGATCCTTATATCGTCAAGTATGCTGAAAACAAAGAATTATAATGTAAGTGTTACATGCAATGTGTTGTGGTTGATGAATCTGAGTATAAAACTTAGTTGAACTGAGATACAACAGGTGCTACTTGACTAGCCCTGTGTTACACTGTTGTTATGCACAGATGTCGGACATGTGTTAAGCTCGTCAAAATGGCCAGCTGGACAGAATATGTCCATGAGAACCTGGGCAGATTATGTCAGTGAGAACTGCAGACCGATCCAGATTGTTGGACGTTCATCTGCCTTTAAACGCCGACAAGATAGTCAAAAGGACAGAGCAAGCAGACATCGAGAAACAAACTAGAGGAAAAGACAAGCCAGCAACCTGAAGCTACGAACTGCCCAGTGTCAGCATCCTTCGCCGTCTTCCCCTGGAAGCCTTTGCCAGACTCTGCACGTTGTGTGCGAGTTGTTCGCCATACCAACAAGTTGTACGTTTAAGCAATTACAAAACTACCATTCTTTGTTGACAATACGCCTCGTGTTGTCTCAAGACCTCTGGAGGTATTACACCTAATGGTTACATCTTTGACCTACCTTTTCATTTTTCTCATACACCTCGGGTATCAAAATCCGTACATCTGCACATGCGTAGTCGATCATTTCCTGTGTAAATTCTTTTGTTGCCCAATAAGCAGCATTGCTTTTGTACAATTTGGCCTGAAACATAGAAGTCAGAATCATAAAGAAAGGTTCTTAACCGTGTCACAATATGATGGCTTCAAGACATTGTTTGTATCCATTTTCCTTAACGCGACAGTCAGCATTATTCCATCTACAGACAATCCAGTGATCAACAGCAGGAACCTCGATCTATGCAGCTGGAATACGATGACACGTGTCAACGAAGTCAGCGAGCCTGACCATCCGATCCCGTTAGTCGCCTCTTACGACAAGCATGGGTTACTGAAGACCAATTCTACCCCTTACCCCTACCATCTTCACGTGTTTACTGAAAAAGCAAACCCCCAGACATCGGGATAACTTGATGATCTATGAATTGAGATGCATTGATTGTGAAATAAACTGACCTACTAAAGAAAGTATAAACCGGGTTTGGCGCGGTTATTTTTTTCGCAAAACCCAAAACAACGTAATTTGTCAGACACAGTTGATGCTAAAATTATCAGCAGCAAGAACGTTTGGTTACCTAATTTGCGGCAGAACAGTGACGAAAGCATTTCATGCTGACGGAATCCGGGTCTATCATTCACCCGTCAACATCGGTGGACGAGGAACGTGAGACGCTGATAACGTCACAGTTTGGGCCATATTTGTGTGTTTTCGCAACACGTACACAATGTTTGTGACTTGTACCAATAAAAATATTTCCTTCTTTTTAAAAATCATTCCAAAACACAAGGTGTGTACTTTCATTTGTAGGTCAGTATATATACATTTCATTTTTTCACCATGACGCTTTTGCTGTACAAAATGTCTTCGGGTAGCACAAAGTATTTAGTGAACTCAGGTGTGTAAGTAATAACACTCTCTTTTTTCCTCAGCTACGGGTAACCTACTGTGACGTCTTCTTTTCCCTCAAGGGAAGTGACGTCAGTGTAGCGGCTGCAAACATCAATCAGCTTCCGGGCAGATGGGAGTTGTCTCCTTTCAGATTTTTCAATGATGAAAAGTGCCGTCTGTGGAAAATATGAAGTTTCATAAAACAAATAACAGAAGGCTTAAAACACTTGGGTACACATACATGAGACACTTGGGTCCACATACAGTAAATATGAAGTTACATAAAACAAATAACAGAAGGCTTAAAACACACACGCGTAGCGTATAGGGAGGGTTAATACTCCAAAGTAAAACAACAAATGTGATGTTCGGTATAATCGGTAGCTAAACGGATGTGGTGTAAGTTAAAGGTTGACGTATTAGTGGGGTACATACTACATACATATCAGACGTTCCGATGGGATGTTTTTATACAGAAGCTGTAAGAACGTGCAATATCAGTAGAGTGGTTGTACACAGATGCAATACGGATGGGGTGATTGTACATAAATGCAATACGGATGGGGTGATTGTACACAGATGCAATACGGATGGGGTGATTGTACATAAATGCAATACGGATGGGGTGATTGTACACAGATACAATACGGTTGGGATGATTGTGCATAAATGCAATACGGATGGGGTGATTGTACACAGATACAATACGGATGTGGTGATTGTACACAGATACAATACGGTTGGGGTGATTGTACACAGATACAATACGGTTGGGGTGATTGTACACAGATACTATACGGATGGGGTGATTGTGCATAAATGCAATACGGAAGGGGTGATTGTACACAGATACAATACGGTTGGGATGATTGTGCATAAATGCAATACGGATGGGGTGATTGTACACAGATACAATACAGTTGGGGTGATTGTACACAGATACAATACGGATGGGGTGATTGTGCATAAATGCAATATGGATGGGGTGATTGTACATGAAGATACAATACGGATGGGGTGATTGTACACAGAGACAATACGGTTGGGATGATTGTGCATAAATGCAATACGGTTGGGGTGATTGTACACAGAGACAATAGGGATGGGATGATAGTGCATAAATGCAATACGGATGGGGTGATTGTACATAAATGCAATACGGATGGGGTGATTGTGCATAAATGCAATACGGATGGGGTGATTGTACATAAATGCAATACGGATGGGATGATTGTACATAAATGCAATACGGATGGGATGATTGTGCATAAATGCAAAACGGATGGGGTGATTGTACACAGATACAATACGGTTGGGGTGATTGTGCATAAATGCAATACGGATGGGGTGATTGTGCATAAATGCAATACGGATTGGCTCATTGTACATAAATGCAATACGGATGGGGTGATTGTACACAGATACAATACGGTTTGGGTGATTGTGCATCAATGCAATACGAATGGGGTGATTGTACACAGATACAATACGGTTGGGGTGATTGTACATAAATGCAATACGGATGGGATGATTGTGCATAAATGCAATACAGATGGGGTGAATGTACATAAATGCAATATGGATGGGATGATTGTACATAAATGCAATACGGATGGGATGATTATTGCATAAATTCAATACGGATGGGATGATTTGTACATAAATGCAATCTGAGGATGGGATGATTATTGCATAAATGCAATACGGATGGGGTGATTGTACATAAATGCAATACGGATGGGGTGATTGTACACAGATCAAATAAGGATGGGGTGATTGTGCATAAATGGAATACGGATGGGGTGATTGTACACAGATACAATACGGTTTGGGTGATTGTGCATCAATGCAATACGAATGGGGTGATTGTACACAGATAAAATACGGTTGGGGTGATTGTACATAAATGCAATACGGATGGGGTGATTGTACATAGATAAAATACGGATGGGATGATTGTACATAAATGCAATACGGATGGGGTGATTGTACATAAATGCAATACGGATGGGATGATTGTGCATAAATGCAATACGGATGGGATGATTGTGCATAAATGCAATACGGATGGGATGATTGTACATAAATGCAATACGGATGGGGTGATTGTACATAAATGCAATACGGATGGGATGATTGTGCATAAATGCAATACGGACAGGATGATTTGTACATAAATGCAATAAGGATGGGATGATTATTACATAAATGCAATACGGATGGGATGATTGTACATAAATGCAATACGGATGGGGTGATTGTACATAAATGCAATACGGATGGGATGATTGTGCATAAATGCAATACGGATGGGGTGATTGTACATAAATGCAATACGGATGGGATGATTGTGCATAAATGCAATACGGATGGGGTGATTGTACATAAATGCAATAAGGATGGGATGATTATTGCATAAATGCAATACGGATGGGAGTGATTGTACACAGATAAAATACGGATGGGGTGATTGTGCATCAATGCAATACGGATGGGGTGATTGTACATAAGATGCAATACGGTTTAGGATGATTATTGCATCAATGCAATACGGATGGGGTGATTGTACACAGACAATACGGTTGGGGTGATTGTACATAAATGCAATACGGATGGGATGATTGTACGTAAATGCAATACGGATGGGATGATTGTAAATAAATGCAATACGGATGGGATGATAGTGCATAAATGCAATACGGATGGGGGTGATTATTACATAAATGCAATACGGATGGGGTGATTGTACATAAATGCAATACGGATGGGGTGATTGTACATAAATGCAATACAGTTGGGGTGATTGTACATAAATGCAATACGGATGGGGTGATTGTGAAATACATATACAATACGGATGGGATGATTGTGCATAAATGCAATACGGATGGGGTGATTGTAAACATATGCAATACGGATGGGATGATTATTGCATAAATGCAATACGGATTGGGTGATATTACATAAATGCAATACGGATGGGTTGATTGTGCATAAATGGAATACGGATGGGGTGATTGTACACAGATACAATACGGTTGGGGGATTGTACACAGATATAATACGGTTGGGGTGATGTACATAAATGCAATACGGATTGGATGATTGTGCATAAATGTAATACGGATGGGGTGATTGTACACAGATACAATACGGATGGGATGATTGTGCATAAATGCAATATGGATTGGCCTATTGTACATAAATGCAATACGGATTTGGAAACAGTGAAACATTTTCTCATTTACAAGCAAAGATCAAGGTGTGTATGAAGCGTAATCATTTTACAATACCTGCGTCAAACACATTGTTCAGCATAACATCGAACTGACACTTCAGGGCTGCGCTGTCTCGGTTGCACGCGTGAAATACCTAAAAAGTGAAATAGCAAGTTTAGGAGTTTACGCCGCTATCAATAATATTCCAGCAATATTATGGCGAGGACACCAGAAATGGGTTTCATGCATTTGTACCCGTTTTAAGTAATCGAACCCAGGTCTTTGGCGTGATGAGCGAACACTTTAACCACTAGGCTATCCACTGCGCTTGAAGTGCAAATAGAAACCTAATAAATGGCGGAAAATAGAGGCAGTCATTAGAGATGTTTAAGATCTATTTTAAGTATGTGTCCTATCAAATACTGACTACCATAATCACTTCACAGACATACCTTAACGATGTTTCGATTTTCCAGAAACGACTTTAGTTGGCCTTCGGTAAAGACTTTTGGCTCAACGAACACATTGAACAAGTAGACAAAACCGTCTAGTTTGCCCACCTGAAGAGTGAGGGCCCTTCTTTCCCAGATTGATTCCCTCGCAGTCCACAGCAACGACAGACTCCTGGAGGAGGTCATCGACAGCCTTGACGCAGTCATCGACGTTATCCACAACCTTGTGGCGTACTCCATCTTCTGCCATCTACAAAACCAAAACAAAAGCCTGTACCCTGTGCTTGTCTACTACATTGTCCATTATTATTGTCAGAGAGGGCGTTGGGGTAGGCTGGTGGATTTCAAAGCGTTCGCTCGTCACGCCGAAGACCAGGTTCGATTCCCCCATGGGTACTATGTGTGAAGCCCTTTCTGGTGTCCCCTGCCGTGATACTGCTGGATTATTGCTAACTTAGCGGGAACACAGCGATTGAGTCAACGTTTATTAAACGTTGACTTTTGGTTATTTGGTTGATCAACCTTTCATAAACGTTGATTCAACGTTTATCGTGCGACCAAAGAAAGTTAGTCGAGATTCGTTTAGTTGTCAACGTTGTTTCAACGTAAGGACCCAACAAAATGTCAGCTAATTGTTTCCATGGCTAATTTGATACATAATTCATATTGGTAATGGGTATCAACTTAGCAACTATCATTTCGGAACATTAATTTCATAAAAGATCAAGTTCGAGCTAGTGACAGATATAATCTTATATCTTGTTTGATTGTGCATCGATCAACGGACGGAAATATTACGTAAATCGCAATTGAAAATGAAAAAATCAATGATTTTAGGTATAAAGTCATCAGTTATCCGAATTGCATACACATTTGATATTTTCCCACAAAACTGTAATGCCAAAATTATGTATTTCCCGACAATTTGCTTTCAAACCCGCATGCCAGATGTTGACCTTTCGATCGCCTCGTTTGGTCATATCCGGACATGTTGCCACAATTATCGCGCGCGCAAAGGCAGTTGATCGTTGTCAGTTCACTTTGTAGCGAAAGTTCAACGCAATATCGTTCTATTTTCAACATCTTCACGGCATGCTGTTGTTTATTTGGTAAAAGTATGTCCTTCATGTATAATGAAAACGTAGGAATGTTATTTTAAATCTAGCAGGTCAATGCAGCAAGAAACTCCGAATTAGGGCTCGTGTTTATCTGACAAGGTTACCGGTATTGTCACGTACATGTTTCTCAATTTCGTGGAAGCCCGTGTTTTCCATGAACTTGTTTTGTTATTTTTCAATATATTTGCATGCATATATTTGGCATTTTATTATCTAATGGAAAAGATTTCCTTTCGTACCCATCACGGAGCTAAGAGATTCAGCAATTTTGTGGCTATTACGTACTATGTTTAATATGACGCCTAGAAATTATGGGAAGGAGAGGGTCATTAATTTTGTACATGACATGCAGGGTGGGGGCGTCACTTATTTTGTACATACATTTTACGGGGGTGGGGTGGGGGTGGGGTGGGGGATAATTCACATTGTACATGCTTCTCCATAGAAAATCATCACCCACCAAAGCCATACATTATGAAAAGTCCCTAAGGGCATCTATACATAATCGAATAGAATTTATCAACATTTTATATTGCATCACATTATTATGAACATTTGTTCGTTTCAATAGATCTATCAGTAAATTGTGCATTGAGCACGCTCTGAATCTCTTGTCAGCATATGTATATTATTTGGAGGGAGGGATGGAGAATGGCGAAAGGAAATCTTTCTCAGATCATGCAACGAATTCACATCAATATGTCTTGTGCAAGTCTTTGTTAAAGGATGAAATTGTGTATAATGTATTTGAACTTTTATTTATTTACAAATGTGTAACTTCACTAATGATTCTTTGATGGGGCAATTAACAAAACTGCACCCCATAGACTTTCATTCTTACACTTGTTTTGGAAGGGATGTGATGATTCATGATCTCTTAATGGTTAAAATGTTACATACAAAGAAGTAATTTAGTAAGGATCATTTAATTATGAAATAAGATTTAATTTTAATGGAATTTGCAGAAATCTCATCTTCGAAGATTGGGTGGCATCAATTTTGTGGATCACATAAAAGGAGCAATGCTAAAAGGTAACAAGTTTTAACACTTCACTTGTTTCCAGATTATCCATCACAAAGTTTAAAGAGAAAGATGATAATGCTCTTTCATTACCACCTGTTTTGAATATTTGTGATAATGTTTGGTCTTTTGGTGATAATAGTTGGTCTTTATCTTCATATATATATTAAGGTTGATCATGTTAGAGAATAATTTGACGATGATTTCTCCGGAATGTTTAGTTTAATGAGCACTCCTTGCTTGGCGCCATATTGTTTTTCGCCGTAAAGAGCTGGGTGCGAGAGATAGCACACTCAGAGGACAGAAGTCATAAATTTATAGAGATATATAGATGTTTATTGCTTGGAGACACACTCTTCAGGTATTTGGTCAGCTGTAGAATTTGAATATGATGTTTTTATTATTGCCAAAGTGTAGGTTTTCATTATTTTGCATTTAAATGTGTGTGCAGTGAAACATGCTTGAGATTTGGAAGAGTCCATTATTTATAGTAGAGGTATTGTTAGATATCAGCATTTTATGTACATGTTCCCTTGTCCAAGATCATCTATCAGTATATTAGAGAAGGTGTATATTTGTAGTGTTTTAAATCAGAGTTATTTTCAGTGTATGACTCTACATTTCAATATGTGTTGGCCACCTGTCACCCCTTTGGCAGGTTGGGGATACCCTATCTAGTGTATATGGACCCATCCTAGGTTATTACTGCTTAAAGCCAGTGAATAAAGCGCCCTATCAGGCCCATAAAAGCAGCAATCTCACCACCGGTGGCGCTCACACGGAACGTCCCCCAGTGCGAGCTCGCCATTCTTTATTTAGTACGGTGATATCCTTCTAATCCATATATACCCCATGCAATTTCACAGTCCCACATTGTTTCCATCAGCGCTATTGCTATCGGTAAACATGGCTAATTAATACAACATTCCTGAATCAAAAATGGCCCTAGTTCCACCAGTATTGACAACACAGCAAGCCGATTTTCATACGCACATCGCCCCCTTATCCCCTGCAACGCAATTACTGCACCTTACCATATGGCCGTCCCTGTTGCTATCCAGTATCGGCGGCTGCTGACTGCACGTCATCACTCAAAGTATTACAATTCGCTGAGGCGGGCGTGGAATGCAATGTGTTGAATATGATTAAGAAGTTGGTGCTTCCCCCCTGAACTCCATTTGACAGACGGGCAAAATCATCCATTTGCTTGATAATGAGCGTACGTAACCCCGCA